AAAATGTAACATTATTTTATATGGGATGTATCCCGGAAAACGATACTTTGGGGAAGGATGGATAGAGGTTTCACTGTAAATCATTCAGTCTGAAGGGTAATCTGAAGATACATCAAGGCATTCACAGTGATGGGTGCCGATATGACTGCACTGTGTGTGATAAATGATACAGTAGAAAGGACAAACTCAAGAGACAGCAACTTACGAGGTGCGATCAGAAAGTTTCCAGACTGCGCCTATAAAAACCCGTACACTTATCTCAGGTATTAAATTCATCCATCACCCTCGAAGTAGTTCCCCTGGGAGTGAACACAACGATCCCAGCGCCGCTGCCAAGCCTTGAAGCATCCCTGGAAATCTTTCTTTGTCAGCCTGTCAAGCACCATCTGCGATTCTGCCTGAATCTCTTCTATCGTCTCAAATCTCCTTCCCTTTAGCTGAATTTTCATCTTTGGGAAGAGGAAGAAGTCACACGGAGCTAAATCCGGCGAATAAGGAGGGTGCGGGATGACGGCCATGGTGTTTGAGGCCAAAAACTGCCGAACTTTGAGGGCGGTGTGCGCTGGCGCGTTGTCATGATGCGTCGCATGTGGAGTTCTTCCTTTAGAATCAGCTGACAGGTCCCATAGCCTACCCCAACAATGTCGCACAAGTCGTTGATGGTACGACGTCGATCTTCGTAACATTTTCGGGCGTTGTCCTCGAAGATGGTCGTCCAGAACGCTCATCATCCAGGTCCCAACAATGTCGCACAAGTCGTTGATGGTACGACGTCGATCTTCGTAACATTTTCGGGCGTTGTGCTCGAAGATGGTCGTCCAGAATGCTCGTCATCATCGACAGGGGTTCGGCCATTTTTAAAACGTGAATGCCACCCAAAAGTTTGTGCACGACCCATTGCGGACTCCCCAAATGCTTGCTTTAGCATTTCATAGGTTTCCGTAGCCGTTTTGGCGAGTCTTTGGCAAAATTTGATTTGTTCATGAAAATCCGCCATTCCGAAATCGCAGGAGGGTCGGTGTAATGCACTACCAAAACGCCCGTAACTAAGAAACAAATGCTAATTCGATGATGCCGGCTGGCAAACTGATTCATTATGAATGTAGGCCGCACCCCCTAGCGGCAGAAGCTCGTTCTACTTCCGGTTCGCCCTCTATTGACACAGTCTTGAAACTTTCTGATCGCACCTCGTATACATACTGGTGAGCACCAATATTTCTGTGATGTGTGCAATAAATTATTCAGTCAGGAGTCATCTGAAGACACATCAAAGCATATTTCATGGAGAGGATCCACATTTGTGATGTGTGGATTCACTAAGTAGAGTGATCTCATCATCACTGATCATGTAATATATATTACAGTGTCCATATTCCTGTGATGTATGTAATATATCTGTCCTTTGTGAGATTTTTCTAGAGAGAGATCATTGGAGACAGTGGAGAGCATCCCTAATCTTGTCGGATATAAGATATCCAACATACCCATCCAAACCTTAAAAGAAACTATGCAGATAAACAATGAGATTCACACATTCTTGAAAAGACCTGGTAACATGTAGAGACCAAATAATCTCTCTCACATCTTCATCATCTAGCAGCCAAGGTGAGTCTGTGATTGCTTTTTATTTGTGGTGTTAGGGTATTTGTTTACTTGTCATCAACACGCTTACGGAACACAAGTACAAATACATTTATTTATTAATAATACATTTACATACATATTTCACTTACTCCCATGTGACCAACCAAATGTCAGACGCACTCAGCCAGTCTGTAAGGTGTAAACTTTGTATTTTCAGTTGGCTTGTAATGAAAATTCTATAGACACGTTGCACACTGTCCATTGTCTGCAGTACGTCTGATGGAGACAGTGTTCTGGTTCTGTTCCCATCTTCAGGTGATTCATGATCATTATACTGACAGATTCATTTTCTGGTGACAGGTGGGATCAAACCTGGGACCATTTGAATATTAAAGCTAGTGCAATGAAAAATAGATCAATGGACTGGTCTAGAAGTGGCTGTTACATGAAACTCTATTTATGTTACATGTTAGGTTATGTTCTGTACCAAAGCAGAGGGAGTCCTGCTATTTTGATGAATATTGATTATTTCAGTTTTCTAATGAACCTGTTCTACCCTTTGTGGATGAATCCTGCTTTATCCCATTGTATTTGAAAACCCATGGTCCAAGAGTATTCTGCTAATTTGTACACAGAATATTTCTCCCATTTCTGAGTTGCATGTTTGGTGGTTTGGGTTTGGTTTTTCTGTTACTCCTTTGCATTCACGTGGGACGCTGCATATTCGATTGTTTGATTCCTGTACATTTCTTATTTAGTCTCTTTAAGTATGCTACTTGTCCCACACCGTAGCCGCGCGGTATGAGGCATCATGTTTCAGACCGGTGATACGGAATACGCGCTGATTCGAGTCTCGGGGGAGAAGAAATTTTCTCATGAGCTTTCGACCAGTGTATGGGACCGGTGCCAACCCAGCATCGTGAGGAAATTGGGGAGCTACAATGAGTAGCGTAATCCGGTCATGAAAACTAGCAATGGCTGGGGGTTCGTCGTGCTGACCACACATCATCCTATATCTGGTTGGATGATCGTTCACTTCTGCTTAGGCATGTGAACATGAGGCCAGCTAGTCGGCTTTGGCTCTCAGAGGGCCACGGATAAAAAAAGTATGCTACTTTGCAATATTTATAATATGAAAGCTGTATGTACTCTGAATTTTCTCGCAATCTGGCGAGCTTTTTCTGATACTTTTGCATGCATGATACTACCACAATACCTTTCTGTTTCTGGCTGTTGCTGAGAATATTTTTTTTCAGAATTTTCGTGGGTATCCACTTCTATCCTACTTTCCAAAACCTTTAGTATACCAATCCAAATATCACTGATGCTGACAGTGACATTTAAATAAATGCTCATGGTGCAGAATTGCTCATAAAGATATGATAGGAAATATCATGTATTTCCAGATCATTAAAAAGAAAATGTTTTCATTTATATTCTCTTTGAACATACAAGGCTGGACTATGAAAATACTGTAATTCTGATATAAATATGTTGGAAATTGTTTACTGTTCATGGCATATCAGGAATTAGATTTCCTCCTGTCTTTAAATAATTTGTTGTCATTAAACAAACAGTTTACTTCTGACATTAATTTGCATATTTTAATTATTTTTGGAATCAGCTGAGATCAAATTCAGCAACTTTTAATTCTATTCTCCATACTTGGAAAATTCCACAGAAAAAACTGTCAGAATAAAAACTAATCATCTAATGAGTGTAAACCAAATTCATTGTACTATGAACATTTACTTTAAACAATAAATAATTCCCAGTGTTAACTAGTGATGCGACAAATCAACCATTGTCAAACATTTTATAGAGCCAAAACAGGAAATACTAAAGTTTAAAAAATGTCACACATCATGATATAAATTTAAAGATCACAATACAAGATGATGTTATATGAAACAGCTCATGAATAATAAATGAACTCTGTTTCTGTTAACAGGTACTTATGTAATTGTTACTTCTATTCACCTGAGAACTTTACATGTCTAGGAATAATTGCACCATAAAAAATATGAATATTCGATAACAGTATGCACTCCACACTCAATATTGGTGTTCCTTTTACATTTACCATTACAGAGACAGCAGATACTATTTTCTAAAACCAAACATAGTGATATTTATACAAAAGATTAATAATTTCAATTAAAAACAAGATGGGAAATGACTACACAAATCTGCTGGCAGGATCTTCCTGATCATCGCTGCTACATTCCTGACTGTACTCCTCATCATGTTCAGAGTCCTCCTTGCCATACAATTCATTCAGCTTACGTGCCTTATAATTAGCATATCCCTCCCCATACAACGCCACATCCTGAGCATTCACACTCATCCCATATACAAAGTCTTCATCTGCGTCATCACTTGACAGGTCGTCTTCTCCACCTGCAACAAAGTATAGATTCTTTCAGTGGGATCTATCAAGTAAATGCAAAAAACTGCCTGACCAATTACAAATTTGTTACATTCTTGAAACTCAAAGTCATCAACCGGTGGTGATGACATATACCTTGTAGCAGAAATTATTTGTATTTATTTATTTTCCAACTACGAATCCAGGCGCAATTTTGGGGGTCTCAGGCAAGGTAACGTTGTTACAGTTGGGGGTAGTATGAGATACCTCAATCTATGGGATCATGTGCATCATACACAGATTCCAGTGGGTCATTTTAAGGGTACATTAAATTTAGTTTAATTTTATTTTACAACTAGACCAACATTTTATAATAAATTTAATATAGGCTTTATATAAACCAACACATGTACACACAAGTTTTCTAAAATATCTAAAGTTTTCAATTATAGTACAGTTTTCTCCTAAACAGAACCTTCTGCATCCTCCAGTTTAACAAGTTCTCTACTGGAAATCTCCTTACATGTATAATGATTTCTTCTTGGGCTACTAGCCGTGTCAAGTGGATGAATGGAAACGATGTTTTCTCCATTCAACCACCTGACATGGCTAATAGCCCAAGAAGAATTCATAATACTTAGTCACCATGAAAGCTTTACATCACACTCTTTACATGTGTGTATCAATGCTGTACTTACTGAGATTCAAGTCTCCAACTCGCAGAGCCGTCATTATGCATCTGCATTAAAACTGAAAACAAAAATTAACTTGGTTGGTTATTCAGTCACTTATCTCATGATGCTGCATTAACTTCTAAGGTTATTATTTATTTAGTGTTCTATCTGACGACAGGTCCATATGAACAGGATCCTTCCATCCTTTTCTCGGACTGGGACCTGTTCATATACGTTCTTGGCAGATGATCCAGAAGTGGTTTGCCATTACCTTCTTCTGTGTGTGAATGGAGTAATTGTTGGGATGCCACGGAGAAACCGGGGAAGTCCCCGGAGGAAAACTCCGTGTTGCCTAGACCAGGTTATGTAGCATAAAATGAGGATGAATCAGGAAGTGATACACAACGTATTTTATTCACAGAGATATTACTAGGGTGACTTTGCATAAAATGGATACAGGCCAATATAAACAGGTGGACTGCGGAAGATGTTATGTTTTGTTTTATTATGTTTTCATCTTTAGTTCAACTGCCAACTCCTGTTGCAGGGTACTGGTGATAGAGGGTGCTAGAAAAGGAATGATAAATAACAAAGCTAGTACTTGTCCTTAGATTTTGTCACAATAGTCTGTATGACCTTGACTTTTGTTAGCTGAAACACTGGTACACCATCGACAATCAATGTGAGTAATCCTCAGAAGACAAAGTTCTAAGCAGAGAAAATCTATACTCTCTCTTCCTCTCACCAGTACTTAAGTTTTCTAACATTCAGGCAATAGAATTATACACAAACATATTTGAATATAAACATAGTGTCAAATTAGGATGAAAGCAATTTAAGTCTAGAGAAGCATTTTTATATTAATGTGCAACTTTGACTTTTGGGGGAGAGCCATATTGAATGTTGAGAATTATCTAATGTTTCTGCAAACATTGCAGTAGTTGCTATCTTCAGGGTATAATGGTTGAGAATTTTTTGAAAGTCTTAAACAGGGCAGGCAGTATGTAGGTGGCACATTGAGTGTGATAGTGCTGACTGTTATAGTGGAAGAGCTCCACCAATCAGGATAAGGTTCAGTGGTGGGGTCTTGTAAACATGGAATTTGTTCACAAGCTCCGTATACTATCAGTGTCTCAAGAGAAACGTTGCCCATGAAGTTGGTTATCAGCAAAATTAAGGTGCTTGTTGGTCTTGTAATTGAGAAAATATTACCACCCCCCACATTCTGAATACACTGTTGGTCTTAGCTGCACATGTTTTGATGCTTTTGTATTGACATTTTCAAGTTAAGCTTCCCTACAGCAGTTTTAACAGCAATAAATGTTCAGAAAAAACCTAGTAATGTATATTCTGTAATCTAATGGTAGAAAGAAGAATTACAATCATCTACAAAAAGAAATATATAATAAAATCAACATTGTTCTGTATTTAATTTTAAGTAACACTAGTGGACAATTTCCAACCTCTGCTTTTAATAGCGAGTCATACTGCATACTCTGTTCACATAATAGAAATTAACTGTCCAAACCTATGATCTGAATCAGGATAATCATTGTGCCAATTGTTCTCATCGTTGGAATCATCTTCGGCTTATTCTTCTTCTGCTGACATATCACTTGAATCTTCTGGATTGTGATACTTCCAGTCTGACTGAGTGAGTGGGTGCACACTCAGGGTCTCTATATTAATCAGTGCATCACCTCCCACTGTACTGGTGTAGTACAAGTCGTACACATAACCTGCATCTGGTCCAGCTTTGCCTAGTGAAATGTGGAGACTGCTTTACTTAAATTACATTATTCCAAGATGATATAAAAGAATGAATCATCAGCTGGAAGAAAACTGTTACCCTTACAGAACCTTTGCCATTTCAGTTACTCAGTCTCCCATCCAATGGGTCATGGGGGTTCCTTCTGGAAGGGTGGGGGGGGCGACTAGGATGTGAAGGTAACCACTCAGCCCCATCTAGTGCACAGGTTAAGAACGTGTGTGGAACTATACAACCACTTCCCCATATGTCTGCATGACATGCTTAATTAGGCACTGGGGAAAATGTTATTTTTCTTTACAGGCTATTTCTTTATTTGGTTACTGTGTAGTATGGCACTGATTGCAGCTATTATGCAATGTAAAATTAAAAGAATGATGACAAAATACGAATGACATGGGAGGAATCTGATATCTTTTTTAGGTTATATTCTAGAACTCTTCTGGAGGAAACACGAAAAGTCATGAGTAATCTTGGTTTCAGCAGCCAAAATTCAAATCAGGCACCTCCCATCCCTTTGAAACTAAAGCTTGGATTTAGTCTGTACTACAAACAAAATATAATACTACTGCCTGTTTAAGTGAGAATCATATGAAACTCATAAAATACAATATGAAGAATTACTAACTGTTGAAGAAGGTGGGACATATAGGTACCATTTGGCTTCAAAGGATTAAATTCGAGGTATACATATGAATGCTGATGTAGTCTGCTTAGTAAAAGGACTATGGGAAAAGCAACTATTTTTAGGTTCTTTTGTATCCCTGCTGAGTACCTATTATAACAACTTGACAGTGGCTGAATGGATTGTCATGAAATATATTTTGAAGAGTTAATAAAATCTGTCAACAATAAAGGACACTTTACATGAAGACCTAAATGCATTTCTGCCCACTGAAGTGACTGGGTGGGAAACTCTAGGCTACAGTGACTACAATGGTTATTATGGTTACGTTAGTCAAGGGTCAAATTCTGACAAATGAATAAGAATTCTATATAAACCTTCTCAATCAACAAGCCATGTCAGTTGTAAACAGAAGCCAAAACACAACAGAGACCATCTTTGCCTTCAACATCATTCTCCTGATGATGGAAGCAGAGATGGTCTCCAAAATATTGGGCTTTCATCTACAACTGACAACAGCTTGTTTCCCAAGAAGATTTTATTGAGTTCAGTTTCTGTGAAACCTTTGTCTTGTATGTATAAGATTTGTTTTGCTATGTGTATATTTCCCAATGTATTAAACCTCTAAAGATGTTAAAATTTGTTGTCCATGAATATCATTATAAGGTACAGGGAATTTGTTAACTGTTAAATTACAGAATGATACCAATGAGTATGGCAATATTTGCTTATATATTCAATAGCAAATTTACGTGGTCCTATAGTTAACTAGTCACAAGCACTACAAAGTAGTATCAATCAAAACTTCCAAACATCTTTTAACTATCAGCGAAATACATTAATTTAGAATGTACATGTGCAAGTGTGTGTCTTTATCTTCCACCTGTGAATTCCCACAATGCTATTCTGTATTACTGCAGTATCAGTAGATCACATGTAGTAAAGTAAAGTTGCCCCTGATACTTATTAATGAGTTGTATACCGCAGGTCACATCAAGCGCCAGTGAACCAGTATTGCCAACCACTGCTGATCTCTCTGAAATTTTCTCTTTCATATTGTCTAACTCTACATTCATTTTGTCCAGTCTAGCTTTACATGATTCGAATTGTTTCACCTCTTTATTGACCTGCTCCCTTGTTTCGCTCTGCCATTTGGTGACATCACCCATTACACTCGATTGTAATGCCTTAATATTAGCTTCTAGCGTAGCGAATCTCTCATCAGTCCTTTCCTTGGTAGTCACTATGTTACAAGTTACCTCGCTAAGTTTCTGATCCACCTCGTGAATGAGTTCTTTAGCACAGATAACCCTCAATTTGCGCCGATTCAGAATAAGCCGATTTTGAAAACAAGAAGTCAAAAGTGAATTTTTTTACTATTGTTTATAACGTTTTACAATGAATCTCGTACTGATTCTTATACTAAATCGTAATTCTTACAGCGCTCATTTTGAATAAAAATTATAAATACATGTGGATGTAGCTGCGCGACATCTGTGGATTGTTAATAGAAGTGTCTTACCACTCTCGCCATCTGTACTTCATATACCGTATCAGTTTTCCACGAATGATAATTATCGTAAATTATTTGTAACACTTTTTGATTCAAGCCTTTAAACCTGGATTTGAAATGGTAAAAGGGCCTAACCGCATCCAGTTTCACGTATTTTATTCATTCGTAACACCTGTTCTGACGCCACACGAATCACGGATTGTAAATTTAGACTTTTCTACTGAGTCTGATATTCCTTTCATATGGTCTTTATATCTCTTGATTAATGTTCATTTTTGTTTACAGAACAGTCCAAATGACCTTCAAATGATGTCGGATGCCCCAGTATATCATTTATTTTGTTTGCTTTGGCCAGTTGATCCAAATCAGAAATCTTTACCAGAAGTTCTTATAGTTATTCATGTAAGATACTGAATTATTAAATACAGAAAACAAATATTAAATGGAATGCACAATCTTCTGTTGTAATAATGACCATTATACAAAGTAATAACTAGTTAAGAATGCCTTTCAAGTAAAATACAATTGTACAATATTTTCCTAGAACTAAATATTTAAACTTCATTTGGATAAAACCATCAGTTTTTACGTGGCGATTTTCTTTACCTTGCTATGTAAAACACAGTAGTGAGGAAAACAAGTACTAATGGACATTACAATCTGATCACTATGTAGAGGAAAATGTATTACTGAAGAATTTCATATCAGGGGAAAGAATGCAGGATAATGTAAAGAAACTACAATAGAGCATGTTACATAAAGGTTTCTGTTTCTGTTTTTATTAAAACATGATTTGGTGAATTAAACACCATATTAAATGTTATTGTTAATTATCTGAAACAGTTATGTCACTCTGAGTCTCTGATTAGGAGAATAAATACTACTAGGACATGGTAAGACACAAGAGATCGTCTGTTACTACAGTAGATTTCTTGATCTTGGTGTATTGAATGTAGTGAAAGAATTTGGATGTTTTCTTGAACACTGCCCGCATTTATTTTAATTGACGGTACTTATATAAAACCGTGGTGCTCCTGTTATTGTTGTTACATTACAGGTCTTTGTGATGCGACATATATTTTACCGTTAATTAGGTTAGGTTAGGTTAGGTGTCTAAGAACTCTGTAGCGGATGGCTTGTCAAGAGGTAAAGAAGAGCATCAGGTGATCTTATTCCCTGGACTGTGGCGCAGCAGTTTCAAGATCATGATTTCCCCATGCTGTCTGGTGCAAGGGTAGTAAGGATAGCGACACATCCAGACTATCAGGGGGTATGAAGTTACATAATAATTTATTGACGCAATTGGCTGCATGGAGGAATTTAAAGGATAGCAGACATTTAAGTCTTCTTTACATTGTCTTTTAAACAGAAGTAGTTTCTGACTTGTCCTTGTACATAATATGTTGTCAATATGACCTACTTCTCTTGCAAGCTCAAGAGACAACTGTAAAGACTGTTTTAATGTAGAGTCAACATATATGTGTGTGATACCAGTCTATTTACAAATAATTACACCTTTTCATGTCAGATATAATTTTTGTAGATGTCAGGTTTATCCATAGCTAGAAGCTTGAATTATATTCAGAATTATGCCATCTTTACTTATAGTGCTTTACAATTTACAGATGGGATATGGTAGCAGAGCTCTCTCCTTGCTGAAACAGTATTATGAATTAAAGATTCCAAGTGTTGAGGAGGATCAGATGCCTCAAGAACACATTGAGAGTGTTACAGATCAGAATGTGGGCCTTTTGGAGGAAAGGATAGGTAACATACATCCTGACTTGTGCTATATATATCATATATAGTCCCAGGATTTGTCTTTACTACCAAGTTCATGTTATTGCTGTTATTTCCTGGACTGTGGCTCAGCGGTTTCAAGATCATGACTTCCCCATGCTGTCTGGTGCAAGGGTAGTAAGGATAGCGACACATCCACTATCAGGGGGTATGAAGTTACACAATAATTTATTGACACAATTGGCCTTGTACATAATATGTTGTCAATATGCAAGCTCAAGAGATGATTGTAAAGGCTGTTTTAATGTAGAGTCAACATATATGTGTGTGATACCAGTCTATTTACAAATAATTACACCTTTTCATGTCAGATATCATTTTTGTAGACATCAGGTTTATCCATAGCTAGAAGCTTGAATTATATTCATAATTATGCCATCTTTGCTTATAGTGCTTTACAATTTACAGATGGGATATGGTAGCAGAGCTCTCTCCTTGCTGAAGCAGTATTATGAATTAAAGATTCCAAGTGTTGAGGAGGATCAGATGCCTCAAGAACACATTGAGAGTGTTACAGATCAGAATGTGGGCCTTTTGGAGGAAAGGATAGGTAACATACATCCTGACTTGTGCTATATATATCATATATAGTCCCAGAATTTGTCTTTATGACCAAGTTCATGTTATTGCTGTTATTTATAACTTCCAACATCTGCTATATTTGCAGATATTCTGAAACCTAAAGGAATTCTGAAATTTCGTACAAATGTTTGTTTAGTTGTACTATAATTGTACATTGTTTTCAGCAGAACCAAGAAAATCGCTCCCTCCACTGCTCTTAAAATTGAGTGAGAGACCACCAGAGCATCTGCAGTACCTTGAAGTGTCATTTGGGCTCACAGCAACTCTCCTTAAATTCTGGAAAAGAGTAGAGTTTGTACCAGTTTATTTGAGGTAATAATCTGTGGCTAAGGTGAGGTTATTTCAGTCTTGACATTTAAAATAGGTAACAACTATACTAATTTTTCACCATGAAATTTCAATGAGTACATTATATCTGGTCCATCCTCTGTGATCTTCGCCTGTATTGCCATACTTACGAGCGAAGTATAATCAATGACGTGTTCTTTATATGTGACGAGCAGACAACAAATGACTTGAGAGGTAAACATTCATGTATCACGCTGCACCCTTTGGACAACTCGTATAGCGATGGATATAGTGAAACAGGCCAAGCCAAAAAAGGATCATGGCTTGCAGAATATTGGGCTGACTTAGGTTTTCAGTTCCGCAGCTTTACACCAGTCCTCGCACTTAGTGTGCTTCAAAACAGGGCCTGCAAACAAGAGCAGGCAAGTTTGCGCAAACTTCTTTGAATTTTTGTTACTTGTTCATGTGTTCAGAAATTTCCCAGTTGTAATGGAACCCAATGTTTCATCATTGCAGTCACAGAAATATGTAACTGGGTCTCATCCTGAGCCATTAACTCCAATTCTCACTTTCACGGAACTTTTTCTATATCAAATATTATCTTCCCCATGTACTACACAGGTGAAGTTCATGTTGGTATTTTCCTGCGTGTGATAATTGCTGAAAAGATTATTTTGTATTAAAACCTTCACAGTAAAAGATTTGATGAAATGTCTCCCTAATATATGGTAACATCATTTCTGTGAATCACGTAGTCTGTATTATATAGATCTAATTGTGCAGTGCTAAGCAAGATGGAGCTTGATGTATACTCGACCAAGTATGATGTGAAGAGGCTGGAGACGTACAGTAACAATCTAGTAGATTCCTACCTTGGCTCGTTTGTACTTCCTCAATCATATGGTTCAGAGCCCGTTATAAGGAAAAAGTTCACTAAACATATCTTTTCACTTCAGTGAAGAGCTTTACTTTAATGGATCGTCCTAAAGTGAAAATGTTTATATCAGTTTAGTTTTGTGTACATGTAAAATACAAAATAAACATCATTAGGTTTTTCGGTAAAAATTTAAAGCATGAGGATTATTGAACACATTGAAATCTCTGAATGAATTTTACAGTGATATTTATCTGAATGTCTGCACAATTTACTCTGTTTAAAAATTCCTGATACCAAATGCATCACACAAAGCAAATTCATACATAATCTAATTTCAACATTTTAGGCAATTGTTCTTGGCCTACGCCTGCAATACAAAACTGTGGATAATTCCGCATCAGAGTTGGAGCTACCAACATCACAACTCTTGGGCCTCTTCAACTGAACAATTCGTCGACGTGTTCAGTATCTAACAGGCATTCTGGAACACTCCATAGAACTGGGTCTAGTCCGATCAAGAACTGATGTCACATTGAACCCCGTTGCCGAGAGCATGCATGATGAGTTAGAGGAGGCAGCAAAGGTAATTGGTAGCAAATCAGCCCCTCGATATGTACTTTGGGTAATATTATGTTCTACGTGGGTGGGGAGTAATATGTGCCGGACTTCTGTATTGCAGGAACTGAAGCTCAAACAACAACAGGAACTGAAAAAACTGACGCAATTAAAGGTTCAGAAGAAGAATGGTTACAAGCACTGGGCTCATCAGGAAAGAAACAGAAATATATTATTTCTGTCAAAAGGTGACGTATCAGTAAGTCAATTTAAAAAATAATCTACATTATCGATTTACCTCCTGCGTTCTCGTATGCAAGATTTGTCGATTATTATTTTTACGTAGTTCCCTTGAAATATAAGTAGGTGTTTCACTTTACCTTTTATGGTTTTTAGTTACATAAACAACATATGTTCATGAAGTAACATGCAATACTTACATTGTAAGAAAATTACGGTTTTGAGTTTTCAGTGGTGAGAAGCGGCCAACTGACGAAGAACTGTTTGAGAAACCTTCCAAAATGAAACCTGATCATTAATGTTTATCTAGTCACATCTTGATTTTCACAAATGAATACAAGTCACATGTGTATATAAGCTTGACTTGACTTTAAGAAGTAAATAGAATTAATGTCTCATTTATAAGTAGCATCAAAGGTCTTAAATTATTTTTTTCCCCCGAGTGCAAGTCGCACCACAACTCCTGTTAGAAGCGTAACTCAAAATGGAAGACATGGGGGAAGAAGTGAGAGAACATCAAAGAGGTTTTCCACTCACTTGTTACAGGAAAACAAACGTGGAAATTTTTGTTCACTGTCGGGGAAACCTGAACTTCGTATTTATCAGATTTTAAGTATCTCCTACATCACTTATGAAGGAAATGTGAAAATAAATTTAAGGAATGGGGGGTAAAGAATGTCAGCAAATTTCTATTAATGTTTATTTTATCTTAGATTCACACATTACTCTTACACTAGAAACTTTATTACTAGTCGAGAATTTTATATTAAACAGTGTGTAGACCTGCCTGTTCTTTATTAATCTGTTTGTGCAGCTGAGCTATGATTAAGACATCAAGAGAGGAAAAAAGAGAATGATAAATGCGTGAGATATCAGGTTCTCATGGTAGTCAGTATGAAGATGGCTGTCTTCTAAGATGTTGCGCCGTATAGTTTGGTAGAAGTTTGCCGACGCCTCCATCATCACCCTGATAATGAAAGAAGTTAGCACCTCTGACCAGCCATGGTCTTGCTTCCTGTACATGTAAAATGTTCCATTCGCAATTTATTATTATCCTGCAGAAAGACTTGTTTGCCTACATGCAGGGTTAAAAAAATGCAACTAAAGCAAACTGATTTTGTTAAGCAGCAAATATAAACTAATTAAAATTGTTTTAGATCTGTTGAAAATACCTTTCTTTCACTTTCCTGACATTTTTTATCAAGCTATATCAAAAGAATTCCAATAATGGCGTAAGACAATGTTTGTGCCCATTGCAATAGTTTTAAAATGCACTGATTTTGGAAATTAAGTATTAAAAATTTATTAAAATTAGCCGTCAATCACAAATATAATATTATTAAAAGATTAAAATATCATTTAATGTTCCCTATCGAGTACTCGATTTACATGTGGAACTTACACTATTATTATTAAAAGATTAAAATATAATTTATTTTAATCTTTTAATAATATTATATTTGTGATTGACGGCTAATTTTAATATATTTTTAATACTTTATAAATCACAATATGACGCATCTACAATACCTTTTGGAAATTAACTATTTTCAACAATTTCAAAAAACTGGTACAATGAGCCAAACACATTCTGTATTGCTGAGATTTTGAGTTCGTGGCAGAGTATGAAGATGCTACGCTGCATGGTCAGGTAGAAGTTTACCTGCGCCTCTGAAATGCCAGTAAACTACCAGATTACATTACAACATCCCAGAAGTCATATTCACTTTCTATATTGTTTATTTTATAGTGGGTATGCAACAAAACTTCAAAACTGGGAGGAGGAAAATAAAAATTAATCACACAATATTAGAAACAGGATTATGGCAATTATAGTTGTGGAAACTATGATCACATCTACCCACGAGATATCTATCTCATCATTCACATCACTGTCATCTTTAACCTCTGAATCTTCCTGTTTGGAGCTGTGGCCTGCCCGCTCTCGTAATGCTTGTGGCCTCTGCAAATAAGAAGCAGTTTCTTCTGGGACCAAGATTGAAACTGAGTCCTTATAATCCACATCACTGTCATCTTCATCCTGTGAATCTTCCTGTTTGGAGCTGTGGCCTGCCTGCCCTGGTAATGTTTGTGGCTTCTTCGAAAAAGAGACAGTTTCCTTTGAGACTGAGCTTGAATCTGAGTCCTCACCACCAATATCTATTCGAACATAAGCCATCTTTGGTTGAAGCTGATCCATATTTGGTAGACTAGATTCACCAACTTCATTCTGAGGTGCATTGAATTGGAGTCCATTATTCCTATAAAATAAAATTTAACATGATCAACTGTATCACTTAAAAATGGATGGCATGATCTATATCATTTCATGGGGGGAGGGAGGCCTGATGTGCAGGGGTAAAATGTACATAAAGTCAAAATTAACTTCAACACAGTCACTATTTTTTCCGACCATTTCCTTACGTTTAAGGAAACGTGACATTTACATTACATGTGCCTCTCCTGAAAAATACTTTAAATAAATTCTGTGAATTCCTATTCCTCCCGCCATTCACTATGCTGATGATAATACTAGGTGACTCTATAACCCACAAAGGTCATTCTGTTTTATGAACAACTATATGCAGGATACACAACTAAGGAACACAAACTTGATGTAGATGGCAGAGAAAGTATACCTGATTTTAATACAAATGTTTTCCACAGTTTTATTGCAGTGACTGACATGAAAATTCTTATCCTTTTGTTTTCATGGCTGGAGTTTAAATGCTTAAGTTCAGCTCTGGGGATAAGCCACACTGAATTAAGTTTAAATATTTTGGTATTCACACACACCCCCCTTAAATTATCTTTCTGAAACAATTAGGACAAAATATAATTTTATACTATGATAAGCTAGACATTAAAGAACATGAAAGAACAGAAAATAAAATTTAAAAAGAGGGATGACATACTACCTGAAGATCATATTTAAAAAGAATCAAATACTGATGTATGGTAACCATGTTAAAAACTACTCACACAAAGAAATAAAATATATTACTATATACATGCGTTTATTGCACCAAGAGTTTACTGTGCTCCAAATGCTGTCTGCATTTATGGTAAATATTTCAACTTTGACACCAGTACAAAAAAATCTCGTGAATTAATTTCGTAACTCTTTTAATCCAAAGACGGTCTAAACAATGTTTAAGAACTCCAAATAATCACTGCTTACAATGTAAATCTTAAATACAGAATGCGACGTTAACTAAGGTCTACTGAGAGGCGGTCAAAACAAATTCCCCATCTCCTTTTGAAATACGTGATAACAATGTTACTGTCTGTCCTGCAAACGTATGCTGCATCATTCTGGTACTATCTCTATTACTGTAATTCTGTAAGTCTACTATATTAAAATATAATGTGACTTTATATTGTATGCATCAGCCACCAGGCCTCGCGAACAAATTAACTCTTACTTGATAACTGTGACTTCAAAAAAATTACACTGCTACAAATCACAGAACTCATGAAAAAACGTTTTCCTCGTGGTTGGTCCGTCAACTGGCTGACCAACGCGCTGATCCAATTGATATGCACCCACCCCAAATCGTATGTACAGAAAGAACCGAAGCATCGTGGATAACTGTAACATTTAACACTATTTATGTAATAAATTCTTTCCAAAATAACGTCCCAAACTGTTATCGCTGCAAAGAATGATATAATTGCTATTGCATTCTTTAAAAGAAAAATAAGAGTAATATGAAATGACACTGGATGAGGGACAAGGTAAGGAAGCTGTAAGAGACCTTCCCCTTACGCGTTATCTACATCGCCACTCGTCTTACCTGGAAGGCAGTACAGGATGTCCATAAAAAACCTTTATAACTTCAACACTAAATAAAAAAATAGACAAGATAACTAAATGATATTTTTTGCATGTTAAACAACATCTCTCAAAGTTTTTAAGGGAATTTTGTTTAATGTTAATAACATAACTTTGGTTAATTGAAGGTGTGCACGTCGACTGACATTTAACATTGCAGGAAATGGCTACTCCATAGGAGAAGGCACAATGTGTATCCTCGTTTATCGAGGCAAGATCAGACAGTTCAGGTGGTGCAAGCTCTTGAACCAGATGATGGGCCACGCCTTACAGCATTTGCTGTCGACATGCTGGCTCGAATTGACGTCGAGGAAGGCTTCCTTGAGCGTATTCTCTTCAGTGACGAGGCAACGTTCCATGTGTAGGGGTTACTGAACAGGCAAAACGTAAGGATATGGGTATCCGAAAACCCCCATGTGGCCGGAGAACTTGTGCGCGATAGCCCGAAAGTTAACGTGTGGTGCGGACTCATGTGTGACCGAATGATTGGACCATTCTTCTTCGTCGAAAAAAACAATCACAGCCAATGTGTATCTGGACATGCTGACGGAATCTGCTGTCCCACAATTGGAGGGCATTCAACATGTCATCTTCCAGCAGGATGGAGCACCACCCCACTGGGGGTTAACGGTTCTTGGCTACCTTAACGAACAGTTTCCTGATAGGTGGATTGGGAGAGATGGTCCAATACCGTGACCACCTCGTTCGCCCGACATAACCCTGCTGGATTTTTTCTTTGGGGTTATGTTATGGATCTTGTGTACCGAACACAGGTTCCCAACATCGACGAAATGAAGCGAAAGATTGTGGAAGTCATTGCAACCATTAATGCAGAGATTCTTCATCGAACATGGAGGGAAATCGAGTATCGGCTTGATGTGCTACGTGCATCTAAGGGTGCACATGTAGAGGTGTACTGACTTATGTGCATACAACTTTGAGAGACGCTGTTTAATAAGCAACAAACCCCATTCAGGTATCTTGACTCTTTAATTTTTTATCAAGTCTTGAAGTGTAAAGGTTTTTTATGGACACCCTGTATAGTTGATAAAACTAATCGTGGATGTACAGACTAGCACTCTCTTCGAAGTGACGTGAAAACTAAGTTTTCCGTGAAGTTCAGTGCGTAACAGTAGCCACAGTAGCTTGTAGCTTTTCAGTTTTAAACTATGATGAACCAACTGAGAAGTATGCAATCGTCTTATTAACTGCTGGCATCGTAGTAAAGGAACGTAAATTCAGTTTCTGGGAATTAAAATCATAGAAAGTCAATGTACGTGATCCTCCTTTGATCAAAAGCGCCGAAAAATCTTTTTAATATATCCGAGACATTATATATTTAGACTAGACACATTTCAAATTTAATTTGGTAACAACTATTTTGCTGAAGAGAACACAAGTTTTACTAGAAGCTGGTCGAAAGTTGGGGATGAGTGAGGTTTTCCTCAGTTGTAAGGCTTAATATAAGGCTATAATTCAAAAGTAGGACGGCCCGCCATAGGATTCGAACCCAGTGTAGAGGCCTTTTGTTTCGGTAATTTCCTC